GTTGCGGCCCCCCGGGCCACCCGCCGAGCGGGCAATGGCTTGGGACAGGGCCCCCATTCCACCGGCCACATAGCCCCAGGCTCCCTGCCGTCCCTCCAGCTCACCCATCACGTGGTGCAACAGCACATACCTGCGGTGGTAGGACCCCTGGTTAGTCGTTGGCTGAGGGGATGGGTCTGTCCCCTGCATGGGCATAGTGAGGATGGTGACACAAACCCCATAGATGGGACTGTGCCAGCTCCTAAGATGCCAACTCACTTACAGGGAGTGCCCACTGGCCAGGACTTGACCTGACCTGGGGACAGAGTTGTCCAAACAGCAAAGGTGCAGATGGGGGTCCCGCAAGAGAGCCATATGGCAGGGATGGGGGGGGCAGTCCCTTGCCTAACCCCAACCCTGAGCCACCCTGACAAGGCTGAGCAGGCAATAGGAAGGAGGGGCAGCAGGGCAGGGCATGGGGTACCAGGGTGCAGCAGAGCCGAGGAGCTGCTGGCACAGGGGATGGCATGGAGGGACAGTGCAGCCATGAGCCTCAGGGAAAAGGGACCCTCACCCACTGCCAGGGGTGTGGGGACTGGCCATAGCTCCGATCACCGCGTCAGTAGCCAGAGTTGCCTTCAGGGGCTCTGACTCGAACCACTGATCCAGGATCTGGCTCAGGAAAAAAAGGGAGCATTTGGCTCGGCGTGGGGGGCTGCCAGAGCACCCCTGCAGGCAGGCAGCGAGGCAGCCTCAGGCTTCTGCCACCGACACTCACCTTGGAGATGGGGGCTGTGAGCACTTCGTAATAGCGAGGCAGCTGCCGTCCCAGCGCCAGCCCTTCGGGTAGAAAAGTGGTGCGACTCAAATGGCTGTGCCCAGGCCAGCTGGGGTTGGGGGTCAGGCAGCAAGGCCAAGGTGGACAAGCCCACCAGCCCAGCCGGGGCTCCTGAGGAGCCTCTGCCCTGCAAAGGGGCAGCTCTGCATCGCCCACCCAAGGTGCAGGCAAACATCTGTTGCTGTGCAGGTCCCCTGGCATCCCAGACACACCTGCCCGCAGCAGGGGCCGCAGAGCTCGCAGGGCCCTCAGCTGCTGGAGCAGGGAGCCCTGCCCCAGGGCAGCTGTATCCACCGGGGGGGCATCCAGCAGCGGGTCGATGGCTGACACCAAGCGCCCCATGAATGCCTCATATTCAGGGTAAGCCTGAAAGGGTACATTGGGGGGACAACAGGGACTGCACCATGGTGGGTGCAACAGATATCCCACCCAGGAGCATCCCTGTCTCTCCATGGGCAGGGCAGCCCCTCGGGTGCTTTGCCCCTGTGATACCTGGGCGTCCTTCTGGGAGAACTGGGCGATCTGCTGCTGGGTCTGGGCCATGTCGTGGCCCAGCAAGAGGGAGCGGGGGACACTCCTGTCTTCCAGCAGTGGGGTGAATGAGTAGGGGTCCCGTGGGAGCACCTTCAGACCGTATCGCTGCAAGACAAGGACAGCAGGACCCACCCTGCGGGGACAGCCTGGCAGGGGGCTCACCCCGGCAGCATGCTGGGAGGTGCCAGCAGCCCGGCGCAGGAGGGGTGCCGGTACCCGCAGCTCCAGCTCAGTGTAGATCTGCGGCCGCAGCAGGCTGAGCAGGTACGACGCCCGGGAGAACTTGAAGCCTGGAAGATGTGGGGCAGTGGGAGGTGCCCGTGTCTAGGGCAGGATGGGGATGGGGGTATAGGGGACGTGCAGGGGTACCTGGCACGATCTCCTCCGTGACAGCCGCACCACCCAGCACATGGCGTTTCTCCAGCACAGCCGTGCGCACCCCTGCCTGCTGCAGGTAGGCAGCCTGCAGGGAGCAGGGCATCATGCTGTCCATCCATCCAGGTGGAACATGTCCTTGTCACCCTGAGCACCCTCTTGCACATGGTGCCCCCCTTAGCAGGGCAGTCCCCACTGCACATAGCCCTGGGGGAGCCCCCAGGCCCCT